AGTGAGACTCTAACTCAAAAAAAAAAAAAAAAAGTAGGCTTTGATAATACACAACAACAGACTGGGTTAAATCCTTGTGTGTGTGTGTGTGTGTCTGTGTGTTGAAGTCTCACTCTGTTGCCCAGGCCAGAGTGCAGTGGCATGCCGGCAGTTCCTGCTGTTTGGAAGGCTGAGGCGAAAGGATCATCTGAGCCCAGCGTGTCGAGGCTGCGGTGGCCGTGAGTATGCCACTGCACTCCAGCCTGGGTAAGAGTAAGACTTCGAGTCAACAAAAAAAGAGTAGGCTTTGAACTAGTGACTTGTTGAGCAGAACATTTGTTATTGAGAGCAAGTGCATTATCAGACCTTCTTTGTACCTAACTTACGTTAAGCCAAGTGCTATGTCATTGGTCTGACCAAGAATATGGGTTTGTTATGGTTAATAACCTCAGCTAGTGTTTGTTGAGCACTTGCTACTAAACCAAATCTATGCTAGGCCTTTTGCATGCTTGATATCATGTAATACTCTAAATCAGCACTAACCAACAGAACCTTCTACAGTGATGGAAATGTTCCATATCTGTACTACCCCCATACAATGGCCACTAGATACATGTGGCTATTGAGCATCTGACATGTGGCAAGTGTAACTGAAGAACTGAATTTATTTTTTTGAGTAAGAGTCTCACTCTGTCGCCCAGGCTGGAGTGCAGTGGCATGCTCACAGCCATTGCGGCCTCAACCTGCTGGGCTCAGATGATCCTTCTGCCTCAGCCTTCCAAGTAGCTGGAACTACAGACAAGTACCACTCCGCCCAGCTAATTTTTTGATTTGTTGTAGAGACGAGGTCTCACCAAGTTGCCCAGGCTGGTCTCGAACCTCTGGACTCAGGCAGTCCTCTTGCCTCTGTCTCCCAAAGTGCTGAGATGACAGGCATGAGCCATCTTGCCAGACTGAAGAACCAAATTTAAATTTTGGTTTAATTATTTTACATTTTAAATAGCCACATGTGGCTAGTGGCTACTGTATTAGACAGCTTAGGTCTAAATAGTCCTTTTATAGCCCATTTTACAGATGAGAAAAAGTGAGGGTTAGAGGGTTAGGTAATTTGGTACTGGTACCTGACTCTGTGGTAGCAGAGCCAGGCTTTGGAGCTGGCTTTCTTGCCTGCAGAGCCCTCAACTCCACCACTGTGGGGAATGCTCTTTGTACCGGACTTTTTGCAGAAATTCCTTCAAGGTTGCAGATTGCTCCCTAACTCATAGTCCCTTGTGTAGGAATGCTCACCTTGAAATAAATATGCGAGACGTATCTAAAGAAAGCTGTGAAACTTGCCAGAGGATACAAGAGAAGACCTGAATACATGGGGAAAAACCCTGTGTTCTTGGATAGGAAGACTCCATGGTGTGTTATTATTTCCTTCCCACAATAATCTCTGGATTCAGTATAATTCTATTCCAAATTCAAAAGGGAATTCTAATGAGATTTGATGAAAATAATGTGCTAGAATAGTCTAAACAGTTTTGAAAAAGAATAATAGTTGGTGGGGGAGGCTAGGATGAACTTGTTCTGCCCATGTCAAAATGCTGAATAAAGTGGAAGAAGGAAAACCGAGGACTGGCACAGGAATGGACAATAGACAAGTGACACCAAATAGTCTAGAAGGGGGCATATGGAATCACAAACCAGCTAGGCATGGTGGTGTGTACCTGTAGTTCCAGTGACTCAGGGAGAGGCTGGACCATTCATAAATATGAGGAAAATGGGTTATTCATCCAGAAGATAATACAGCTGGATCCATACCTCACGCTGTATGTAGAGTAAAGGTCTAAACATAAAGAACAAAATGTCCTAAAACGATAAAGAAATAAAGGTGTTTTTGTCATATTAGGCTGGGAAAAATGGGAAACTATAAAGGAAAAGATAGATTTGACTGCACAAAAATTAAAAATTTCTCATTTGGGAAAAAAACAACATATGCAATGTTTAGAAGTCAATTGATGCGGGGTGAGGAGACTAATACACAACAACAGACTGGGTTAAATCCTTAAAGAACTGCAGCAAATCAATAAGGAAAAGACATCGGTCAGCAGAAGGTTGGACCAAGGTGATGACTAGGCGTGTCACAGGAAAAGAAACAAATGTCCGGTAAGGATGCTCAACTGTATTTTTCATCCAAGAAGTACAATTTAAAACAATTAGGTACTATTTTTCACCATTGAACTGGCAAAAATTAGACTAATTAATTCCACTGTTGGCCAGCGTGGAGGGAGTGTAAATCGATCCAGCGTTCTAGACAGGCAAATGGCAGGACACAGGCAGATTGTAAATGTGTCCTTTGGCTCAGCAGCTCCATTGCAACCACTCACCATACAGAAATGCCCATGCAGGACCACACGGTGGCTCTTGCAGTATTATCTGTGATATCAAAGAATTGGAGACAATATCCATTTTTAGTAATGGTGCAGGTATAGTTCACCATATTTTAGAATACAGTGTGGCTGTGAAGAAGAATATAGTTATAATGATATAGAAGTATGCATTGGCTATATCCTTAAGGCAAAGCAGATTTCAGAACAATGAGTATAGCATGATCCTGTTTTCCTTTCTTTTTAAGGTCTGTGCATACAGGAGAGGAGTTGGGGGGATGCACGGACACTAAACTGTGGCAACAGGGGAGCGGGAAGTCTTATTCCTCATACACACCTCCCTGTTGCTTGCATTTTTGCATTGAGCAAATGTTATGTTCAGAATACTTTTTTTTTTTTTAAGGTATCTTGACCTGAGAAAGGATTCTGAGTTCCAGCTGTGAGTCTGTCACTTAGCTAAAAACCACAGAGGGACTTAACTTCTTCTGACCTTAGCCACCTTCTCTGTAGATAGATGTTAGATAAATGGATACATACATACATACATACATGCATGCATACATACATAGTCGTCCATGTTTCTCAAGTGTTATGGTGGGTATGGCTACTTTTATAATCAAGAAAACAATCAGCCAGGCTCGGTGGCTCAGCCCGTAATCCCGCGCCTTTGGGAGACTGAGG